CAACGACTTTGTGGATATGCGCTTACATAAGCGCGAAGGTGATTTTAATTCGAGCGTTTCAATGGAATTGAAATGGAGGGAGAGAGAGAGAGATGTGTGCACGAATTAATTGTATTACTTTTTTTTTTTTTTTATTAGTAATTATAGAGGATGAAGAAGTTTCTTATTTCGATAGATTGGTATGGAAACGAAGAGTGTAAACCGAGATGATAGATATATACATCGATGACGATATTTCGTATTGCATTGCAAATTATCGTGGTTCGAAAAACTTTGATACCGTATTAATTTATTCACGGAGGAGGATTGGATACGGAGTTTCAAGTTCGAGATCAAACAAGGTAGGTGCAGCCGATATAAATTTAATTTACGAAAATCTTTTCGTCAAATTTCACGATGACAACTTCCAACCTGCTCGTTATTTAAATATATAATGTAACGCAATATTATTATTACACCGTCGAAATATTACCTATCATAACTTTATCGAGATATATCGAAGGGAAACACGTAATACATCCCTAAAAGAATAATTTGAAAAACGAAACGTCACCTATCTTTCGATCAAACCCACTTGTATTTCTAACCCACGACGATCAATTTTGCATTTTGCCAAAGCTCTACTTATAAATCTTGCAACGAGACCTTGCCATCCTTTTAACCTGGCTCGATATCGAATTCTCTAAAACTCTCTCGCCTCGAATCTCTCCATTAATCGCACACTCGTAAAAAAGAAAAAAAAAAAAGAATTAAAACCCACGGAACGAACGAACACGTGGAATCGAGATAGGGCAGGAATCACGGAGGCTCTCGAATTACTCGGAGCGTATCAGCGTAGGTTACACAGCTCGGGGCCCCTCGAGTTTTACCACGAAACTGGTCCCGCTGTAAGCGGAGAGAAAGAGAGAGAGGAGAGCACCTGGCAGCCGTGGCACAGGTAGCAGCAAGCTGGTGGGGCCTTTTGTCGTCCTCGAAGCCCTCCCACGTTCCAAAACTTCTTCCTTTCCGGACCGATCGCCCCTTTCTTCTGCCCCGCAACAGCTGGTGAAAACAGAGTAGTCGGACACGGCCGACCAGCTGCCAAGCGCATCCCTCTAATGGCGCACCTACCCTTCCCATTGTCCACCCAACGTCCTCGTATTTCCGAAAACTGGCCCCTCGGATACCTTCTCTTCGGATAAATTGTCCCAGGGATTTTCCTCCCCCTCTTTGTAATTCTTGCTTCCTTTCGAATTTTTCCATCCTTTCTTTCGTCGTTGACGATTTCTTTTATCGATCGTGTATTTCGAAGGTGAACATTTCTGATTTCCGTAGAATTAGAATTAGAATATTATTGTTCTAATAAAAGTATCGATCGAATCAATCTCGCCTTCCTTTTACCACCAATTTCTCAGATCCAATTTCGTTACACTTGACGAGCAAAAAAGTCTCGGTTTGGAGAACAACTTTTTAATCCGCCAGCCAAGATCGATGGCGGGCTCCGAATTTTCCTTCTCTCTCTCTCTCTCTCTCTTCAATCGAATTCGATCGATGATATCGAGTAGATTTTGCGCAATCGGACGGCCAATTAGTAGACGGAAGGAAAGATCGGTGACACGGGGGTTTTTCAAGGCGAGCCCGAACGATTGCGAAGCGTGAAAGGAATTCGCACGTGAGAAGCTATTCGCTGACTGTTGGTATGCGATGGATCGACCGACCAATGTCTCGATCGTTTTGCCAACCGATGACAAAGCGGTTCTCATCCTCCAAGCGTGTCCACACGCCCTGCTAATTTTCATTCAAACGCTTGAATCTTCAGTTTCGTGATCCTGCGCCTATATTTCTCTCAATAATCCCTCTCTTCGTAACTCGCTTATTATTTCACCTTGGAATTCGATAATAAGTTTCGTATTGAATTCTTACTTAAAACTGCACACTTGACTCGAGTTGTCCGAACAGGAAAGCTTCGTAAAATCTTCGTACTTCGACACTTCTTGCAAAGACAAGACGCGTGTATATATTCGCGAGGAGCGCAGGTGTTCACAGGGCGAGAAGGGGAAGGATCTCGCGTCGATAACTAATTTCACAGCGGCGTCTGGGTGGAGGCGTAAGGAGGAGCGAAAGAAGGGTCGGGGCTGCACGGCCTTCATTTCCATACCGTAATGTACGGCGGGTGGAGAGGGGGAGGGAAGCAACCAGGGGAGCGAGCCATCATCACCGAGAAACCTTTGTACTTTTCCAAACGCGTTCTAACCAGTTGGATTAATCTTATCTTGGCGCGGAGAGAGGGGGGAGGGATTTCTTGATCTTGATCGGAGCTCGCTCTCGAAGAAATCTACTTTGTGATTTTTTTTCTTTATTCTTTTCCGTAGATAAGTGGAATTTTGGAAATGGAACGTTCGACTCGATTTTGTTTGTTCTTTCGATAAGAGGAATCTTTGATAGCGTGACTTCTCGCGATCACGCAATGAAATTTTGGAAATTGATTCGATCGAAGTTTCACGATTAAAATCTCTTTTCACGCTAAAGTTCTCGATCCCGATTGTTTCTCGAAGAGAAATCTAATGAAGTTTTCGAACGTTAGAAGAGTTAATCTCCAGATCGATCAATTTGGCTCCAGATTGGCTCGCATCATCGGACGATCGTGCGTCAGACACTCGATCGATGCTTGATTCCGCGTTATACCACGAAAGGAAGGAAGCGAGTTTTCCTCGAAAATTGACGGAAACGATCTGGAAAAGGAATTTTGTACGGTTATCTCGAGGACAACGCCGTTTCGACAAAACCCGTTTATCTCGGCCCATACGTGTTCCGGGCTTATCACTGATACCGGCTCAAGCCTCTCGCCACGTGTATCGATGAGTCAGATCCTCTTTTACCCTCGCTTTCCCATTCGTATCGAATTTTTCTCTCCTCCACTATGCCTACACGCTCCAAGTTTCGTAACAATTTTATAAATAGAAATTTTCGATTTTAATAGACACGTCACGCGTCGAATTGGCGATATATTCGCGACACGGGTTTGTAATTGTAACTGTGACAGGACGTCGCTGCGAAATTGGTTTCTTCTTACCAGAGTAGAATAAATTTTGCTTCAACGAAGAAATCATTTCGTTCCTCGAAATGTTTCTAAACTATTTATTGAAGTAAGTGGACAAATTCACAATTAAAATTATATATCGTGATGTTACGCGCTGTGCAGCAAATAAAGACGATTCCTTTCACCAAGATGAAATTTTATTTAACTTCGTATCGAAGGATTTCAATTTTATAATTTTGCTTTCCCTCAATCGTCGAGACGTAGAAAAATTTTCCAGATTATCGTTTATAACTCATCCGACAGAGATAACAAGCGAGCACAACGAAAACGTCGATCCTTCGATAATGTCACGTCCGAAATTATATATAACGTTCAAACAAGACCAACGCTTATCTATGCAGCAAATAACGACACATTACACAATTTTGCTTCCCCTCAGAGTTGATTTAAAATTTAAGAATGTTCATAGAAATTATCGCTCGCTTTATCGAGAAAAAAACTTCAAAACACCCTTCGAAATCTCTCCCCCCTGCTCCCTTATCCGGGTCACTCTACTCTTGTTGGAAACAAGATAAACTGGACGGAGGATGCACGCTCGTATTTATTATCGACCAGTTATCCCGTTCATCAATTATTCCAAGATCCGCTGTAAACGCGAGTTCCATCCATGCATTACGCTCAGGATCCGTTTCTATATGGTCTGTGGGGGCCCAGGACACGCATGCCCCCCTCCAACATCTGCTAGGCGTGAGTTATTTTAGACGCGGAATTCCCTATGCATAGATTACACAGGCTATAAATTATTCCTCCCGCAGGATTCTCTAAGCGCGCGCAGCTTAACCCCTTGTACAACACCCCCTGCCACGAGTTGCATTCGAAGTGTGGTAAAATCAGTTAACCAACCATCTCTCGCGAGATGGATCGTGAAACGAACAGCTTCATCCAACGTGACCTTTCAGACGGATGATCTCTTCGATGATTATTGCTCGAAGGAGATTTGCGGCACGATTGATGGTGATGTAAAGAGTAGGTTGGGGGATGGTCGTTTCTGTAAACACGAGAAACGGTACTTTGGTGTGGGTTTCGTATGTCGCCTTCCCACGTGTATTTACATCACTTGCATTAATTGCATGTAATGTAATTATAATTGTAGGCACTCTTGTATTGTAACAATCTTCTTAACGCGTTCATTATGTTAGAAAATGAAAAATAAGATTTTTAATCCTTCACACTTGTATTTATATTTAAGAAGGTTATCAAGTGATCAAGTAAGAAGAGCCCTCTAGAATGTTACATTATGTTATACATATTTACATTAATTAATATATGTAATAATAATACAATGTAGGATCGTGCGATTATATCGTGCACGAATGCAAAGGATTAAAGCGGAATTTTAAAAGAAATTTAATGGAGTAAGCAGTGAAATATAAATATAAGATATACTTTGGAAATAGAAATAGAAACGGGGGACAAGTATCTGGGATCTGTTGGCGAACCACTCTGCATTTTTATACAATTTTAAAGATAAAATTATACCGTATATGGTAACATAGAAGGGTGTTGTTTACGAATTTTCCATCGTTAGAACTGAGTTGAAGTTGGACAGCCAATTGGAGGCTTATATTCAAAATACTTCAAATTGGAAAGGAACGAAAACAACTAATTCAGAATCGGTGTTACAGAAATATATATATATATCCCAATTAAAATATATAAAATAAAAATATTAAAACTACTTCTGTTTACGTTTTTCCAACAATAAACAATAAACATTTAGATCCCGTGAGGAACTCAACGAAATCACGAACGTGTTAAATATAAATACAGTGTGCAAAGGATTGAATTGAGTTCGTTACAAGGAGATATTTCGTCGTCCAAAAAGTTTCAAAAGTTTCGAAGCTTTACAGCTGGATCTCGTTGAAAAAGGCGTCGAACGATCTCGACTCGCAACGTGAGTTGTTGGCACTTTTGCAGAATCGCAGTGAATCGCGGGTAATCACGGATCGGTGTGTAGCAGGTGTGTGGCTGGCAGCTGATCGTAACGGTACGAGGTTCAGGGTCAATCGCTGGACAATGTTGGCGAGCAGTGACGCGTGGTGGTGGCGAACGTGGGCAACCACCGCCGTCGAGAATATCAGCCCTGGGCGGGGCTCGTATCCCTCCTCGCCTTAACGATCGCGCCTTAACCACTCTGTCTGCTTCCTGTATCGTCGCTCGATCGAGTTGAGAATTTTCGATTTAAGAAAATTTGTTGTATACTTGGAATGTTGCTTATCAATATTCCTCAATTGTCTTCGTTTTGAACTCGTTTCGAATTGAACGAGAGAAATTTGACTCGATGTATTACGGAGATCGGTTGAAGAAAGTTTTTGAGAAAAGAGGGAAAAATTAAATGCTACCTTCTCTCCCGTCTTTTTTGAATTCGTCCGAATATACGAGTCTCGAACGTTGTTATTAGAGGGATGGAGATGGACAGGAAGGAGATATCGCGTTTCTTAGATGAAAATTTATCCACGCTCGTGCGTGCGAGACGCGGTTCGGGTCATTCAGCGCGATTTCGAAGCCCCCCTCCTCCTCCTCGCCCCGGTTATCGCCACTTCCGGCGCGCGCAGAGTCGCATAAGCGAGAAATATTGCGCGATTCTGTTCCAACCGCTTTCGTTTCGTGAGTCGACTTATCGAGAGCCTCACGCGAGAGATCGATCGATAATAATTAATTAATTAATTAATTAATCGAAACTTTGTTGCGCGAGTCGTAGAATTAAATCAAGGGAAGGATTTAATTATATTTTACTTACAATTCTGGGGATACGATTATTTTTGAAGATTTAGAATCGAGGATCCATTCGTATTATCACAATTATCGAATTGGGAATTAACGCCTCGAGAGGAGGATGCATCTCGATGGAAAAAACTTAAGAGTTTAATTAAAACTCGAGAAATTCTTAGCTTGCGTCACCTCGTGGCGAAAATCTTCTTGATTTTTCCTCCGTCGATCCGTGAGAATAATCGCGTAATCATCTCGCGTTCCTGGAAGAAGGAAGGCAAGGAAAAAACCTCGACTATTCGATATCTAATTACAAGGTTACGAATTTCGTAATAGTTGCATAATTGATCCGCGAGATGGCCCAAAGAATCCCGCGATGAATCATCTGAATCTTCTCCCTTAATTGATGACCGATGCTTTCGCTTCCTTCCGATCTATAATTCGTAAAAACATTCGATTTTCCCAAAGTTTTCCCTCAACGATAGAAATTACGAATTAAAATTACAATTGTTCGAGATATCGTCCCCCGAAATTTCCAGAATATAATCGAATAATTGTTTTTCGAGGGAGAGGAATCGTCACAGCCGTAAAAGTCGAGGGCCGCCGCGCGGTCACCTGGACATAGGTTGAATGAGCGAAACCAGTACTCGGTGGCCTCCGATTGGCGGCTATTTCGGAACACGCCGCTCGAGCGTGGCGTGGCGGTGGCCACATTCCTGTTCCAGCCACCGCTGGAACCTCGCTCTTCTCTAGGCCGCGCGCCGATTTATCTCGCGCCACCTGCGCGCCTCCTCCTCGGATATCTCCCCTCTCGCTCTGCCGGCCGCAAATTTTAACTTTCAGTCGAAATCGACGAATAAAGTGTCGCCTCGATGATAACAAGGAATGTAGAGATCATCAATTGTTCGAATTTTATTTTTTTGCTCAGATATCTTTCCTTCTCTCCTCTGCCAAATTTTAACTTTAAGTCGACGAATAAAGTGTCGCCTCGATGATAACAATGAATGTAGAGATCATCAATTGTTGGAAATTTTTAACCGGTTATTTTTTTGCTCGGATATCTTTCCTTCTCCCCTCTGCCAAATTTTAACTTAAGTCGACGAATAAAGTGTCGCCTCGATGATAACAAGGAATGTAGAGATCATCAATTGTTCGAAATTTTATTTTTTTGCTCGGATATCTTTCCTTCTCTCCTCTGCCCTTGGTAGGGCAATTTTGAGCCGAAATCGACGAATAAAGAGTCGCCTCGATGATAACAAGGAATGTACGGAGAGATTGTACGAAAACGAGTCGAATTTCGAGCAATTGTTCGAAATTTTTAACTGGTTATTTTTTTCAATAAATGGAGGTCGACGACTAATTCTGGCCGCGCTCGTTACTATGGAAACGAGTATATGAGAAACGGATCTTTTAAATTTCTTCATCTCGACGCGGGAAAATTAACTTTTCGAAAGATCGATTAATCCGATGATGGAGTCGATAAGTTTTGAGTTGTCTGGGTATACGTTTTAATACGATAAAAGTTTGATGATAAGTTTCTCGGCTTTGAGTCGACTCCTCGTTTCGGATAAAGCAAGGTTTGGAGCGTATTTGTTTGAAAATTTCAAGTTTTGCTCCACGATTCTAAGAGAACCGATATAACGTTACGTGTAAGCAACGTGTGCGCATCTGTTACACGGAGGAGAAGAACTTCAACTTTGGTCGAAAACTAGGCGTGTCGAAGTTGGGCCGGAATTAATTAGATGCGCATCGTGGAAACCGATATTTTCGATCTCAAGATTAATTTGAAACGTAACATCGATCGTTCTTAATACGATTTATAAATTTGTCGTCGCAAATGCAGACATCAGGAATAATTGGAAAGTGGAGCAAGAATCGAATCGTAAAGAATTCATTGTATGAGTTCTTTCTTAATTTGATTCTTTCTTTCTTTCTTTCTTTTTTTTTTCAAGAAAATTCAGCTTTCGAATCACGATTTCGCGATTACCTCAAACTCCACCCGAAAACAAAATTCCAAATTTCGATTTGTCTCTCTATATAGAATAATCTCCTCCACTGTTCGTTCCATCGTTCGTTCAGTTGCGTGTACAAAACTTCCTTTCTTTTTTGTCCCTCTTCCCTTTCGAAGAATTCTTTCTTTCCACCAACGAATTTCGAATTAAAATCACTTTCTTTTTTCAACGCGTTGTTCAGAAAAATCCACCGAGATGGAGGAGCCCTCGTAAAAATCTCGTCGATATCTTCGTCATGCAAAGTCGGAGGCGCGCGATCAAGCCGGCCAAGCTTTCGTATTAGAAGTGGATTATTCTGGAAGGCCCCGTTAAACGTAGGTTATGCTAGACGGGGGTCACTTCGAGCCCAACGATACATTTTGCTAATCTCCTGTTACAGCTTGGCGTAGTAAGTCATGCTCGCCTGTTAAGTTACGTTAAATGGGAGGGGAGGGAAGGTTCTGATATATTTCGCGTCACTTGCCGCTTATCTGAAATTAAATTTCGTCACAAACGTTGATCGTCCTGTTTTTTTTTAAAAAAAGATCGTAATTAATTCGAGTAGCAGAAGGATTCGTTCGATAGATTCGTAGCTTGGCATTCAGATTTTATTGAATTCTGAAATCGTTATACGAAATCGATATACGAAAACGATATTCCTCTTAACTCTTAAATATCATACGAATAAATCGATATAAATCGATAATACGACCAATTTATTTGCGACAGAGATGATTACGCTTGATTAATCGCGAAAGAGTTGTTCAACAAATGCTCGTTTCCCTGTAATTTAATAATCGAATGAAATCGGTGTGTATAATTCAAGCGATTCGTTGAAATTTTCAACTCCCTCCCTTGCCTATAATGTTAGGTTACCTATAATAATCGGATCGACTATTTATTATTTTAATAACAACAACAACAACAACACGAGAAACGAAACGTCGAGAGCTCGTCGGTCGTAATGCAAATACACCCCGCTCTCGTTGATTCACGCCATTTAATATGACTCATTGTCACTATGATTCACGCGATGTTATAATTCAACGAAATAGAATGTCGAGAGCCGCGCAAATTAATTAATCCCGATTGACAAACATCGTGTATCCACTGGAATCTGTGAAAAAAAGAAGTTAATTAATGTTCGTAATAAAATTATATCATCAAGAAGGGGAAAGGATCTTCTTGCAAAGGATTTTTTC